TCGGGGGTGCTAGAAATGATCTAAATATGGGTATAAATGTTTACGAAGGGGTTTTTAAGTTGTGAGAGGTCTCACCTCGGCGATATGCAACGTGACACCCAATCCCGCTTTCTTCGCTTCACAGAAAAATGTTTGAAAATCCGCAACGTCTCCCATGGATGGTTCGCCGCAGAGATCAACCCCAACAAGTCTTCTTCCCTCTCCCTTTAGCTTAAGTGCTATATCCAAGCATTCTTGCCAAGTCTTTTCGCCAGTTTTGCGATCCAAGCTCAGAATTACGCCCACCTTTTCCCCATATTTTTCTGCCTCATTCAAAACGGTTCGCATATACAATTCCCTGCTCATGTATTCAGTCTCTCTCTTGGTCCCGTACGAAGTTCAAGATAATTGCATTGCGGATGGTCGCCGTCCAGGAAAGCATTCGGAACACCTCGCGTCGCGCAAGCCAGGCTTTCAGGCGTAGACGTCAAGTGATAGATGATTGGGAATACCGAAAAGAAATCGTCTATCGTCTCAAGCTCAGAACCGTAAATGAGTCGTTCTATCGTGGCGTAGATTGCATCGCCGTGTGTGGATGATGGAGAGTTTACGTATTCCTTGCCAAGCTGTTGGATGACCGCAATGGGTATAGAACCGTTGAGGTGGGCATGAAGTTCAGCTTTTTCAAGAGATTGTAGAAAAGTAACCTGATCAGGTTTCAATGAGGCGAGTGCTGCTGCGGCAGGACCAGCGATGGCCATTGGAAAGGGTGCGTAGTCCGAGTCAGGTTGTTGGGAGTTCGAGCTGGGTCACCTGTTCTTTGAATGAATAAATAACTTTGAAGGGACGGCTGAACACAGACACGCTGAACGGGGGAGCCAGCCTGGACTTGCGACTTCGCGTGGATGTTGTCGCGGGGAAGGCTATAATAGTAGCAAGTACTACGAGTACTATAGAGTTGGACTGGAGACAGCTGACGTTGAACGTTGGACGTCGAGTGATGCACATGTGCAGCTATGAAGACGAGCCTTTATGTGGCGGAAGCGGGTGGCCGCTGGCGATCGAAGCGTAGACGAATGGATCCCCGACTCTGGAACAGAGAGGGTTCCGTCAGAACGATAAAGCTCCGAGCTCCATCGTGTGTGATGGATTCCCACAATCTTCGGCTTGTTCCGTTCTTTCTTCCCATGTCCACTTGGCCGGAACATTTGGTAAGGTGCATAGAACCTCGGCTGGCCTGCGAGGAGCGAACCGCGCTAGCGGTTCGGCGACGAGCAGGCAACTAATAAGTGTAGAAGATTATTCAGGTGGGTTGTGTAAATTACATTATTTATGATACGCAATTTGCATGTTACTGTGGTATTTTGACCGAGTATTGTTTTCAAACAGAGTCGGGGACTGACGCTTGCGCCGCTACGATATAATAGCACTAGTACTTCTATCATTCCATGCGGCTGGTGTCTCCTTTGACTAGCCTCCAACTCCGCGACGACTCATAGGGTTTGGCAATATGAACATATCCACAAAGATATGAGGGAATTCAAAGTTAAATACCACAGCAGTCTTGAAGCAATGAAGGTGAAGCTGAGAATAGAGAGCCATATGGAGGGAGAGGTAACAACAGCAGCCGTGATATCGCTCCAGGCTTGAAACCACTCTTACTATTCCATCAGTGTTCACTAATGCTCCACTTCAACTCCACTTGGGTGCCCACGCCGCCATTGGAACTCACCCACCTCGCTCGTTCCTCGAATCACATACTTATTCTCGTCCCTTGTCGCCGATCAAACGTTCTTGACCGTTCAAGCATCAGGAAAAGGTCTATCCGTAGATAATATGTCACGGAGGATGCTGGGTCGGCTCGCCATTATTTGATAAATACGATACCCACTCTTCTAGTCTACATACAGAGCAGGAGTGAAAGTGAGTATTTGACCCGAGACGAGGAAATGAAAACGTATGTAAACCGGTAGACCATGTCGACATCAAATCTGGGTCGATGTACGAAGCTTGCGGTTGTTCAGCATACCTGTCCACAAGCCTAAGATGAGAACCCTGCGGTGCATAGACCATCCCACCACTGCCCCTTTCGGGTCCATAACGTTGATCTTGTCTTGGTAATCCCACCCCTGCCAGATGTCCTTCATCTACGGTTCCAATTCGGACGTCAACGTCGATATTGACATTCACACTTGAGGCAGAGAGCGACGAGTCCACGCTGACTGCATCGTCTCTGGACGTCCCCCGCGATGCACTTGAACCTTCACGTTGCTTTGGAAGTGGTACTGGCGCATCCAACAAAGCGTCAACCCCACCTCCCAAAAAGTCCTCATCCTCTTCGTCAAACTCCAAAGAAACGCTGCTATCGCTTCTAGGCGCCAGCAACGGAAATCTGACTTTATGCTGAATCTCCCTCCTAATCCTGCCAAAATCTTCACTCATCTTATCCCCAAATCACGCCAACTTCCGAATGGGAATCGAGCTCCTGGACGACTTGAGCTTTAAGCTGGGGTGCCGTTCGGGAACATGGGTGTGATGGCCTGGTTATATTGAGGGGAGTGGTTGAAGCCGGCCCCGAGAGCAGAGACAAGAGGTTCGTCGAAGGACGTTGAAAAACGGCGAATGTCGCGGGGTGAAGAGGAGAAACTGCCTTCTACGAACGATTCTCCGGCACCGCCTTTCGTGGTGGTAGAAGAGAAATCGTTAACTTCAACTTCCTTGCGGACCAGGGCATGGTAGTCTTCTCCCAAGGTATGGAAAGAAAATTGGTGGGAGAGGTATAGGGACCGCGGGAGAATGCGCTGGGACTTTGAAAAGTTTGATATCTCAGCCTGAGATAGCCAGCTGCACGTGAGACTCATCAGCTACACTTCGTCCACGCCAGAAATGCACTTACTCAAGATTCTCCCCCAAGCCTCCCCAATCACGCATCCGCTGGCTATCAACCAAACACCTCTTAATCTCACCCCAATCCCTACGACGTTGCAAGTTCCACGTAGCCACGACCCTTTCCTTGGCTGAAAGCTCCAGCTCAGGCATATCCATCATCTTCGTCAATGCAGAAGGCCTAGTCGAAGCAGAAGCGCCTGCGCTCGAAGGCGGCGGCGGAATCGGACGCCTGGATGACTGCAGAAGGCAAACTTGGTTCATTTGTATGCTGTTCGACCGTGAATCTCCTAAGGGAGAGCATACCATCCGCATAATCAAACAGGAGAACATCTTGGTAGTTTCGTGACTTAAGTTTGGAGAGGCGCATGGTCCGCAAAGCTGGCGTGATGTTTGCTCATGTTTGGCCCACGCATATTGACCAGCGATTGATGGTTAAGCAGCTTTTTGGCCGCATTTTGGCCGATTTTGAGCAGATCTTTGTCCATATCAAGAGAAATTTTGTACACACAGGGGCTCTTCAGACCAGATTTTTGAAATTCACGTCCAAGGGGGTTCAAGAATTTAAAAAAAGTAGCTGGGGTCGATTTTTTTTGTAAGGCCCTGTGTGCTTGACCTACCTACCTATGTAATCAGGCACAAGCCTATATATGGCAATATGTCATCATCATCATCATCACTCTGATCCTTAAAGATTCAATTTCGTGGGGCTATCTCCAATACAACACATTGTAGGTGGTACTAAAAAATAAGTGAGTGTAGCACTGGATGCAAGCCACAATAACTTGGACCACATTATTGTAAAGAAATTGTAAAGAAATTTCAAATAATTCTATGGTAAAAATGTCTAAAATTATTGTGATTTTTCTTTGGATAATGCTATTGTTTGTCAAAGGAAAAGTCACAATAATTT